GACGTCGAGCTACGCAGACAGATGTGAAAATGCACGACAGACTAACAAACAAACATTAAAGAACACCAGAACTCAAAGGTGTGTTTTACAAAAACCGTATCGATTGCTCGTTTCTGAATGACCTCATCCATATTTACAACTTTACATGGCAACTGTAAACACAGACTTATTCATAAACTATTTAAGGTCTACTTGTGCAATCACAAAAGCTCATTGCGAGACAGTTTACCATATTATGGGGCACATCTCACTCAGAGCTTTAAGTCATTTTTCTTTTGGAAAACAACGCCAACATGTTCCTTACACAAAACACAAAGCCTCATACAGGCGAGCACTCTGGGGTTAAGATTCCCAAGTTTTTTTATTTGAATATTAATTCACAAATCATTAACCCTCGGTCCATTAGAGAACACAAAGGGACAGTTCTTCATACCATGAGTCTTCTGAGCCAACGCTGATTATGAATAAAGTTTGGAATAATGAGGGTCAAGTCACACAACACATCTTCATAACATCTCTGAACAAACTCTGAATATTCATAAATCACAGACATAATGAGAGCTGAAGATTTAAGAGAAGGACTCCTGTTTGGTAATAAAATGTCTGAGTCCATGTGGTGATGGAGACTCAGTGAGTCCAGTCCAGACCTTTGGACAGGAGGACTCCTTCAGTTAGACTGTAGGATCATCTCCACTCACGTTACGTGCGAGTGATGTAATGCTCCTAGTTTAGCTTTATAAATACGTCTTCAGCTCAGAGCCGGCCTCCATGTTTAGTCATGTCAGCGCTGTGTCAGGTGGCTGACAGCGCTGCAGAGGACTGATGAGTTATTTGACTGAATGATGAGGTCATATCTGACCTGATTAATAAGCAGCAGAGTTTTGTCTATAGTAATGGTGACTGTAGAGCCGCTGTGGCCTCCATGTTTGTTTGTCTGTCTGTTTGGCGGCGGTCAGGCATTTAGTTAGTGAATATTTTCCCACCTGAAAGCAAATAACAAGCAGTACTCTGAAGTTCCTCGTCTCTGAGGGGTTTGAATAGTGAATGTTTGTAATTTGGGAGACAAGTGTTTTTCTGGACTGGATCTTTATAGAGAATGCAAGTACGCTAAACATTCATGTTTATGGCACTGGAAAGCATTGTTTTGAAACATACAAACATTTAAAATGCAATTACTAAAACATAAAAACTAGAAAGCATAGTTTCCTTAGATGATGGGGTGGCCATCTTGGATTTTGACATGGCAACCCAAGTTTTGATAGTGACCTTTCTTGTAGATGCAGCCACACAGCAAAGAAGAAGTTAACATGTTGCTTATTTGTGGAGTGATCCAGTTCGGGGGGGGGGGGGGGGGGTTGTCTCCTCTTAGCTCCACAACAGGAGACAAAAACCACATTTGGTGCTCGGACACCTTGAATGTCCAGAGCTGGGAGTGTGCTCGTTTCTCTGGCAGTAAAGGTGTAGCTTGTGGCAGCAGTACTGACCTTCTGCACCATGTTCTCCTTCTGCATCTGACTCTGCCGGAGCTTCTTGAGCAGCACAAGGCGAGCCTCCTCCAGACGCAGCTCTTCTCTCAGAGCTTTGATCATCTGCTGCCTCTCCTCGCCCGTCTTCCCCTGAAACACACGCACCAACAAAGAGCTCAGTGCTCGTAACAAACTGATGCCAACCTGTTACAATAAATGCAACTACAGCTTTATACTATAACCACTGAGCTGCAGTGCAATGATCCACCCCCCCAAAAAAAAGCTTCAATCCCTGCATGTTCCAGAGTGTAGTTGAAACGGAACGATATCTTTTCTACAGAACTGGGTAAAAAGATGTAAAGAGCCCAATTGTAACACTTGTAATAAATTATTTGCAACACAATAAAAGGAGGTGAAATTATTATTGAACCTCTGCTGATTTTATAAGTTTGTTCATAAAAAAACAAGTTTTTGATTTGTAGCTCCAGTTTAATATGAAGAATATAAACTGGAGTCAAGAAATAAAACTTTACAAAACTTTCTGCATGTCAGAGAGACAGTTTGAGTCTCCACAACCCAACCAGCTCCGTCTCCCACCGGGTGTCCATATGGTCCATGTGAGATACAGGTTACAACCAACCAGCTAAATATACTGGGCCACAGTCTGGAGGTCCATCCAAACCTTCTACATGAGGTGAGGATGATGATGAGAATGGGGAGGGACCAGTCCACAACCACACAGGAGGAACTTGGTCATGACCTGAAGGTGGTGAAGACCACAGTCACCTAGAACGGTGGCCCCCAACCCCTGGGCCGCGGACCAGTACCAGTCTGTGGGTCAATTGGTACCGGACCACACAGAAATAATACATAACTTATATTATTTCCTTTTTATTTAGCATCTGATTCTGAACAATGTTTTATTTGGGAGTCTCTCCAAATTCTCTCCGCCACGTCTGTCTACGACTCGCTCTCTACGACTCGCTCTCTCCGCCACGTCTGTCTACGACTCGCTCTCTACGACTCGCTCTCTACGACTCGCTCTCTACGACTCGCTCTCTACGACTCGCTCTTGACGCAGGTCAAGATGTTTGCCTCAGTCACACCTTCTTAAAGGGGCTGCATGTCTATGCAAGAAGATCAACAGATGGAGATGGCAAATGACGGCGGCCTTAAAAGTATGATTGAGACAACAACTCTGCCAGTGTTCTGGATTAAAGTCATGGCAGAATCCCTGGAGATTATGACAAAAGCACAGAAAACCCTGTTGCCATTTCCGACATCCTATCAGTGTGAAGCAGGGTTTGTGAAGCAGGGTTTGTGAAGCAGGGTTTGTGA